CGCCCGCAGTCCGGCCCCGCCCTCGCCGCAAGCCCTGCCCAGCCCCAGTCCCGCATCCCAAGCCTGCACCCACACCTGCACGCGTCCCCGCGCGGGCCCACATTCCCAAGTCTGCACCCCGACTCTCCTTCCTCCACCCGAGCCCCCACCTCACACCCTCCCCGCGCCCGTGGGGATGCTGGGCCTTCCCGGGGCTCTGGGCTCCTGGTGGTAGACCGGGAGGAGGGCGCCCCTCTGGTCGAGTTTGCGGCCCTTGGTAAAGCCTGTCCTCCACTGGCTAGCTAGAAACGTGATAAAAGCCTTTGTCCTCTAATAAGGCTCTTGGGTGACACATGACAGGTAAACGTTGTGTCAACCTGGTTTCCTCAGATCTGGTGTTCCCTAGGAAGGAAGCAGCGGCCGGGCCAGAAGCTCTAGCCAAGTGGAGAGGGGAGTGGGCTGGCACCGCCGTCCTCCACGCACGTGTGGGTCCCGGCCTGGGGCCCCAGGACTGGCAGATCCACCGGAGGTGCCAGGGTTTCGATGTGTGTCTGTGTGTGCAGGTGTGTGTGCTCATGTGGGCACGTTTGTGTGCACACACCTGCGTGTGCATGAGTCTTGTGTGTTTGTGCATGGTGTGTGTGTGGGTGGTTTGACTGCTTTGAAGAGCTAGGCTATGGTAACAAGAAAACGGATTTCCAGAGCCTTAAATGCTTGCAAAACAGTTACTGTTGACCCGCCTTCCCGTAGAAGCAGGCCCAGGCTGGCTGGGTCCCAGGGCCTGGAGTCCTAAGGAATGTCAGGTTCAGTTAAAGACCCCCTTTAATGGCGAGGGCACATGGTGACCTCCGTAGAAACACGCGTGGCTGAATGTCTCAGACCTGTAAACACAGTGTTTGGGGCTCAAGCTATTTTTAATAGCCCCTGGAACCCAGCACCCAAACAGTGCCCCTAGCGTGGTTCACAGACTGGCCCTGTGTGGAAGCCGGCCGGCCACGCCGAGGGCCTCTGTAAGCTCTTTGCAGTCCTGGCTTCCATAGGACTCAGTCTCCAGGTGCAGGGAGCAGGAGGAAGCGTCTGGCTCGCTGGTGCTTTGGTTTTCGTTTTTTTTGAACTGGCTTTCAACCCTAGCTTGTGGCTTTTGTTTTTAATGTCTTCCTGTGAGAAGTGGTTGTGGTTCATATGTTGGCTTTTATCGACGTCTTATCGCTTGGTGACACTTACCGCCCAGACCACGGTTGTCTTTCTGTCTGGGTTCGAGTCTCACCTCCGTGTGAGCCCGTGCCGTGTGCTGGGCAGGAAGCGAGATACTGGAGTGAAGGCAGCGCGGTGTCTGAGGGGCCGTGCAAGCCAGGCAGTGCCTGCCGGTCGTCTCCTGGTCACAGACTCCGTCGGCCGAGGCAGCTTTACACGCTTAGCCCTGCGTGTGAGAGCCAGGCCCGATGATCCGTGTGGCCGCGCAGCTCTGAAGGGGCTTCCTGTGTGCCGGTGCCTCGCTGTGCAGAGGTGGTGCTGGCAGCGCTGGTGGGGCTGGCGAGCTGGTTCTAACACGCCTCCCGTGGGAGGGCCTGTCTGCCCCACACAATGCCAGCGGTGGGCTGGAGGGGCCGATCTTCCACTCTGGGTGCCCTTCACCGTGGAGAGCCGTGCACCTTGACCGGTGTCCTCCCGCCTCTCAGTACTTCCCCATCGTCAAGGAAGGGTCGGCACCTGCTGCGCATGCTTGTTTCCAGGGTAACGTAGGTAACTAGGCGAAGCGTCTGCAGACAAGCAGTAAATGCTGTTCCGAGACTTCTCTGACTTTTTAAATTTCTTTTTTAAAGATTATTTCCAAGAGAGGGAGGGGAGAGACCCCTGTTCCTCCCCAGCCTTCCAGGATCACTGGGCATACCTGAGGGTGTGCTCTGCATGTTCAGGTGGACCCTGGATCTGAACACGGCCTGCCACGTGGCTCCAGTGTTGCACAGGGCACCCTGCGGTCCACACCTCCGCAACTGGGCCCGAGTCCATTTTTATGGAGGTGCCCCAGCGTAGAACAAGGTGTTTGTAGGGTACCCATGTCTCTTCCATGAGTTATTTTCTTTTTTTTTTGGAGAGGATTTTGCTATAGGATGCATGTGCTCACCAGAGAGAGACAGGGCCAGAAAGCGAGCCATCACCCCCCGAGGGAGGATGATCACACCGCAATCCCTTCTCCATTCTCCTCTCGGAATCTTAGGCATGCATGCACACACGCCCTGCATGAGTTTAAGCCACCGGGCCCAGGATGCGAACCGCGGTTGACCACATGGGAGTCCAGTGACAGCCATTACGCCAACTGCTGGTCCCATAGTGTTACTGTTTTCTAAGTTGACTTTCAAGTAGTTACTTAAACGGACTCTTTTCTGGAGAGTTTGTACTATAGGGTGGCCGTACTATCTAAAGAGAGAAGAGGCAGAAGGCGAGGAGTCACCCCCAGGGGGATGGCCATGCCACAATCCCTTCTCCATTTTCCTCTTGGGATTTTGGGCATGCACACACACATGCCAGGCGGGAGTTTTAAGCCACCAGGTTCGGACCCGAACTGTGGTTGATGGTCAATTACGAGGGAGTCCAGAGACGTAACCATTATGCCATCTGCTGGTCCCAACACTGACTTTTTTTGATTTATCCTGGGAAATTTGGAGACTATTATTCTTAATAATGAAAGTTATTTAAATAAGTAACCTTGTGCCTTTACATGATTTCGAAACAGCTGTGGTTTCTGGTTTTCCATTTTCCTTGTGTCACTGCTAAACTCATTGCAGTCACTTTCACTTTACTCTCTGCTCCTTTGTTGCTTTAAAGTTAAGCCTGAATATCATCCATAAACCCATAGTTGCTCTAAGTCTGCAACTCAGACAAAATCTAGCATGTGAGTGTTCTCAAGCCAACGTTGGTGTCACCCTGAGGAAGCAGCCCCTTACGTCCATCAGTGTCTCTTTTGTAAGCTGTTGTATTTTCCTTTGAATTCTTTGAGCTTAGACACTTTGTGTTTTCCTTTTAGGGAGTAGATGTCATTGCTTTTAAAATTCTTTCTCCTGTTCCAATGTTCATTGCTTTCTCCATGCCTTTGAAACACTCCATACTGCAGGTCTTCTCCAAACTCTCTGTTTTTAACTTGAAGTTACTGTTGTTTCAAGTACTCGAGGAAGACGTTTATAACAGTGGGGAGTTGAGAATAGACGCATTTTACTTTCAGGAAGGAAACCGTGGGTAGCGGGCTGCTGGTAGGGCAGAGCTGCCCTCTGCAGGGGCTGGGAGGTGCCGCCCACCTGCCGGCCGGCCAGATAGGATGCCCTGGAGTGCCTGCCTTCCACCACAGTGGGGTTGCATCTTGCACTGCTTTGTCTCTTTTCATTTTATTTCATCATAAAGCTGTGATTTTGGAAACAACTTGATACAAATCCCTTGCCGTCTCTTCTTTGTGTCAGTGACAACGGGCTGTTACTCTTTTCTTCAGTAGCTTTGTTGAGATAAAGTTCACATCGGTTTACAGTGTGGGAGTCAGGGGTCTTTCTTGTGGTCACGGGGCTCCGCTGTCATTGCTCACTTGGGGACAGCACCTCACTCCTTTTTAAGGCTGACGTAACGCTCCACTGCGGGTGGGGACATTCTGTTTATCCGTTCCTCAGTGGGCAGATAGGCATTTGGGTTGTTTCACGTCTTATTTCGAAGCCTTTTTTCTTCACAGCCAGTACTCTTGGTCTTATCTTCTCTGTACTTGATGCTCAACAAACCGTCCTGGGCCGTCGTCACCACGCGTCCAAGTGGCTGTCCGGAGGGTCGGCTCTCGGTGCCCTGCCGGGAGGATTTCCAGTGTGCAGAGCTGCGCTCGCTCCGAGGAGCCGCAGGGAAAGCCCAGGGACCTGCTCCTGCGCTGGGGCTGGGGCCCGGATCGGCCAGGGTCCTGCTGCCGAGGTTGCCTGGCTGGTGGGTCTGCGCCCGCTCCCCCGCCACAGCCCGCAGGCCTTGAGTCTCTTCCTGGTGGCACCGATGCTTCCGAAGCTGCTCCTGGGGTTGCCTTTTTCCTTTGAGGGTGCTGAACTAATGCCTCTCCAGGGCCCGTGTCCTCTGTCCGTGTGTCCTAGGGTGTGGTTCTGGAACTGTCCGCTGTGGCTTGCCCTGGGAGTGCCCGAGGGTGAGCTGTGCACAGTCGGCCACAGATCTGGGGTAACCCGATGGCCTGTCGCCCAGGCGGGTAGAGCGTCCACTTCGGCGCGGCCAGTAACCGAGGTGCGGTCCAAAGGTGACGCTGTGCAGTTTGTCCCGTGTTATCACGGGAGGTCCAAGGGCCTCTCTGGTTTTCCTTAACTCTGAGCCCTGCCCGCTGCAGCCGAGCGTCGTCTGGCACTCTGCAGGCACGGACTTTGTCCGGAGCAGTGCTGTTAGTGCCGGTGGCCACAGGACAGCTGTGCCCTCGGGGCCGTTTTGTCTCCAGCTTTCAACTTGCTCTCCTGGGCGGCTGCAGCTGCCGGGTCCTTGAACTCCATGCAGGCGGCCGCGGTCACGACGGCAGAGCAGGTCCTCCCACATGGGGCTGGGCTGGCCTTCGTAGGCCTCCTGAGACCGCCTTCCAATGGGGGGTACCTGTCACGGGAGTGGGGGCACCCGGAAGCCGTCGAACGCACCTGATGGGATCTTCTCACATTCGCCACGTTGGCTGCGACTGTGTGCTGGCCGCTGTGCCTCTGGAGTCACTGCCTTGGCCCTGGCCCTGGCCCTGGCGTTGGAGCCAGGCTGTGCTTGCATGCGCTGTTCACATGTGCCTTGTTCCGCTCGGCTTTGTCTCTTCTGTGCGGAATGTGGCGTGGAAAGGCGATGCCAGGCAGCATGAGAAGCGGCAGAGGTCAGCAGGTGTGGGCACACCACTAACCCAGGCCTTCTGACTCTGCTCTGTG